CTATAGACTAGACTATAGACTAGACTATAGACTAGACTATAGACTAGACTATAGACTAGACTATAGACTAGACTATAGACTAGACTATAGACTAGACTATAGACTAGACTATAGACTAGACTATAGACTAGACTATAGACTAGACTATAGACTAGACTATAGACTAGACTATAGACTAGACTATAGACTAGACTATAGACTAGACTATAGACTAGACTATAGACTAGACTATAGACTAGACTATAGACTAGACTATAGACTAGACTATAGACTAGACTATAGACTAGACTATAGACTAGACTATAGACTAGACTATAGACTAGACTATAGACTAGACTATAGACTAGACTATAGACTAGACTATAGACTAGACTATAGACTAGACTATAGATTAGACTATAGACTAGACTATAGACTAGACTAGTCTGGACTATAGATCAGTGACTATAGATCTTGACTATAGATCAGTCAATAGTCGTGCCTCTAACCTTGTCTATTGTCTACACAACAGATTAGTCTAGTCCAGAGTCACGACTATAGACTGATCCATATTCACTGATCTACGGTCAAGACTATGGACTGATTTATAGTCAAGTCCGTAGACTGATATATAGTAAAGACTGTAGACTAATCATATTTAGATATTCAAGTCCGTAGACTATAATAGTCAAGACTGATCTATAGTCAAAACTACAGACTGATCTGTAGTCAAAACTATAGACTGATCTATAGTCAGGATAATAGAATGATCTATAGTTAAGAATTTAGACTGATCTATAGTCAAGACTATAGACTGACTATAGTCTAGACTATAGAAGGCTAAAGGAGTTGATGGATAGAAAGTTAATGGATAGAAAGTCTAGAATAGACACTTGTTATCACCGCTACTGTATTTCCCTTAAACAAATACATTCATATATGCTAAAATCACTTAACGGTGTCATCGCATAGAGGGTTTCTTTTTCAATATTTGTTTTATTTCTATTTATATTAGTTTTGTTTTACGCGAATTGTTTAAATATTTGTTTATTTTGTTAATAATATTATTGCTTTGCTATTATGTTATTCATATTATTCTATTGAAGTTGTTGCATATAGTTTTCTTTGCCATAGTTTTGTTTTTCTATTTATTCTATAGTTTTGTTTACTCTTTGTTTTTTTTTTCCAACTTTTTCACTTAAAATAAAGTAATATTTACACTAATAAATATTTATATGTAAATATGTACATTTGACTTCATTCAAATAACTGCAATACTAATAAATAAATTATTGATTGACATTTTGTTTATTTTTTAATATGTGTATACTGCATATCTGCAATTAAAGGATTTTAAATTTTAGTTTTAAAAGAAATTGTTATTGTCAACATAGTAACTGCTTTTCGAATAAGATTCTATATTGTAAGCAGTTCAAAACTAAAGGGTTTATTGTCTTTCCATCATGCCAGATATGGAAGAATTTTGTTTTGAAATGCACAGGTTAATCTGTATTTCAAAATATTGTTATTCATTTCATGGCTTAAGTTACAAAATTACTAAATTAAATTAAATTAAATTCTAGTGAATTGGATAAACAAACAAAATATTGAACAAATAAATTTGCATTTTTTTATATTTTTTGTATATTTCTTTTCTTCAAATATTTAATTAAAATCAACATATTCAGACAATACGTCATTTTGAATTTTTGTTCTAAAACAAATTTGCATAAAGCAAGTAAAGAAATTTATAATTGGAATAATCGGTCATTTCATTAGGTATTAATAATTGGATTTTTTGCGTCATTATACAATTTATGAGCTATTTTAATATACGCTTAGAGTAATTCAATTAGAAATGAAAAAATTCCTTGATATAATAATAGGTTACAACAAAGTTATCCAACGATTAGAAAAAAAATAATTTTTATTTCACAATATATAGAATTGCGATAAAATCAAATTTATAAAAATTAATTTCAATTGACATTTCTAAAATAATAATGATGAATAAACCATTTATCATATACCTCTATATTGCTTAATGTAGGTGGCATTTCTGTGAAAATGTTGTGAGCAAAGTTCTTTTTAAAAAGTGATATACATACGTTAAGTACATGGTTTGGTATGCGTTTGAATTTATTAATTTGCCAGCAAACATTTTGGTTTAATAATGAAAATATTTTGAAATCAACATTATATTTAAATATAAGTTTATTTTAAATACACATCTTTAATAACAGACCTTTAAAATCTAGAAAAATTTCGAACTTAAGATCGAATTAAAATTGGAATTCCTTACAAATTTAAGGATTTTCATTAAGAGTTGTATAATTTGTTTATTCAATTAAATGGCTTGTGAGTGAGGCTACATGCTTATCTATAGTCAGGACTATAGACTGATTTATAGTCAAGATTATGGACTGATCTATAGTCAAAACTATAGACTGATCTATAGTCAACAGACTGATCTATAGTCAAGTCTTTAGACTGTTCTATAGTCAAGACTATAGACTGATCTATAGTCAAGACTATATACTGATCTATAGTCAAGACTATAGACTGATCTATAGTCAAGACTATAGACTGATCTAGAGTCAAGACTATAGACTGATCTAGAGTCAAGACTATAGACTGATCTATAGTCCAGACTATAGACTGATCTATAGTCAATACTATAGACTGATCTATAGTCAAGATTATATACTGATATATAGTCAAGATTATAGACTGATCTATAGTAAATACTATAGACTGATCTGTAGTCAAGACTATAGAGTCTATAGAGTCTATAGAGTCTATAGTCTTGACTACAGATCAGTCTATAGTATTTACTATAGATCAGTCTATAATCTTGACTATATATCAGTATATAATCTTGACTATAGATCAGTCTATAGTATTGACTATAGATCAGTCTATAGTCTGGACTATAGATCAGTCTATAGTCTTGACTCTAGATCAGTCTATAGTCTTGACTCTAGATCAGTCTATAGTATTTACTATAGATCAGTCTATAATCTTGACTATATATCAGTATATAATCTTGACTATAGATCAGTCTATAGTATTGACTATAGATCAGTCTATAGTCTGGACTATAGATCAGTCTATAGTCTTGACTATAGACTGATTTATAGTCAAAACTACAGACTGATTTATAGTCAAGACAATAGACTATAGATCGTCAATACCATAGACTGATCTATAGTCTGATACAGACTGATTTCTAGTCAAGACTATAGACTGATCTATAGTCAATACCATAGACTGATCTATAGACAAGACTAAAGACTGATCTATAGTCAAAACTATAGATTGATCTGTACTATAAACTAAACTATAGTCAAGACTATAGACTGATCTATAGTCAATACTATAGACTGATCTATAGTCAAGACTATATATTGATCTATAGTCAAGACTATAGACTGCTATAGAGTCAAGACTATAGACTGATCTATAGTCAAGACAATAAACTGATCTATAGTCAAGACTATAGACTGATCTATAGTCAAGACTATAGACTGATTTATAGTCAAAACTACAGACTGATTTATAGTCAAGACAATAGACTGATCTATAGTCAATACCATAGACTGATCTATAGTCAATACCATAGACTGATCTATAGTCAAGACTATAGACTGATCTATAGTCAAAACTATAGATTGATCTATACTATAGACTTAATCTGTAGTATTGACTATAGACTGATCTATAGTCAATACTATAGACTGATCTATAGTCAAGGCTATAGATTGATCTATAGTCAAAACTATAGACTGATCTATAGTCAAGACTATAGATTGATCTATAGTCAAGACTATAGATTGATCTATAGTCAAGACTATAGATTGATCTATAGTCAAGACTATAGATTGATCTATAGTCAAGACTATAGACTGATTTACAGTCAAAACTACAGACTGATTTATAGTCAAGACAATAGATTGATCTATAGTCAATACCATAGACTGATCTATAGTCTGATACAGACTGATTTATAGTCAAGACTATAGACTGATCTATAGTCAATACCATAGACTGATGTATAGTCAAGACTATAGACTGATCTATAGTCAAAACTATAGATTGATCTATACTATAGACTTAATCTATAGTATTGACTATAGACTGATCTATAGTCAATACTATAGACTGATCTATAGTCAAGGCTATAGATTGATCTATAGTCAAGACTATAGACTGATCTATAGTCAAGACAATAAACTGATCTATAGTCAAGACTATAGACTGATCTATAGTCAAGACTATAGACTGATCTATAGTCAAGACTATAGACTGATCTATAGTCAAGACTATAGACTGATCTATAGTCAAGACTATAGACTGATCTATAGTCAAGACTGTAGACTGATATATAGTAAAGATTGTAGACTGATCTATAGTCAAGACTATAGACTGATCTATAGTCAAGACTAAAGACTGATCTATAGTCAAGACTATAGACTGATCTATAGTCAAAACCATAATTTGATCTATAGTCAAGACTATAGACTGATCTATAGTCAAGACTATAGACTGATATATAGTCAAGATTTTGGACTGACTTTAATCAAGACTTTAGATTGATCTAAAGTCAAGACTATAGACTGATCCTATAGTCAAGACTATGGACTGGTCTATAATCAAGAGTATAGACTGATCTATAGTCAAGACTATAGACTGATCAAGTCAAGGCTATAGATTGATCTATAGTCAAGGCTATAGATTGATCTATAGTCAAGGCTATAGATTGATCTATAGTCAAGACTATAGACTGATCTATAGTCAAGATTATAGACTGATCTATAGTCAAGACTATAGACTGATCTATAGTCAAGACTATAGACTGATCTATAGTCAAGACTATAGACTGATATATAGTCAAGACTATAGACTGTTCTATAGTCAAGACTATAGACTGACCTATAGTTTAGATTATTTTATATCGAAATCACACTTTGAAACAAATTTTACATCAAAAAAATTATTAATTTCTATATTTGTTTTTTCAGAATCTTCAAAAAACTAAAGTATCAACAGCTGAAATGCTCTTTGGTCTACCCATACAAGACACGGGCTTTAAACGTTATCCTTTGCGTTCGCGATCACGCATTATACAATTTGCCTTAACGCTTATACTAAAACAAAACGATCGTGAATATATACAATCGTTAAAGGAAAAACTCTTAAATTATTATCCGCCACCACAAATAAATCAAGGCAGCAGTCAAACAACACAACAAAATGAAAAATCATCCATAACTTATATATTCTATCCAGGAGAATTTAAGATGTGGGAATTTCTACCGCTCACCATAGCATTTCTTTTGCTCTTTACTTATGTTTACTTTTCGGTGCGTAAAATCGATGTTATACGCTCGAGATTTCTATTGGCCTTGTGTGCTGCCATTACCATACTGGGCAGTTTGGTTATGTCTTTGGGTTTGTGTTTTTTCTTTGGTCTAACTATTAGTTTGCAGTCTAAGGATATATTTCCATATTTGGTGATATTATTGGGTTTAGAAAATTGTCTGGTTATAACACGTAGTGTGGTGTCCACCGATGAAACGTTTGATGTTAAGATACGTGTGGCCCAGGCTTTGAGTAAAGAGGGTTGGCATATCTCTAAGACTTTGTTAACAGAGATTACAATATTGACTATTGGCCTGGCCACTTTTGTGCCGGTTATACAAGAGTTTTGTGTATTTGCTATAGTGGGTTTACTTTCGGATTATATGCTACAAATGTTATTGTTTTCCACTATTTTGGCCATGAATATCAAAAGACCCGAGTATTCTACCGAAGCTAAACATTTGCCCAAAATGATGCTATCATTTACGGGCAATTCTATGGCTGCTGGCAACCACTCGCCTACCTCTGGTGGAAGTGGTTATGGTTTTTCTAATGGACGTCCAGATTTCCGTTTCTTTGGCAGTGCCTCTCCTGCTAACGGCAGTGCAGCTGGTGGTAGTAATGGTGTGTTTTCTCCTCCTCCCTTTGGCAGTTTTCATCGTTCTCAGTCGCATCCAAAATTAGCCTTTGCCGACTTTAATAATCTCAATAATGCCAATGACATGTCGAAACGTTCTTCCATTGCTTTAAATCCCAATAATAATGGTCCAGATAAGATACCCAAACGTTTGAAGATTGTTAATTTTTGGGCACGCACACGTTTCTTTCAGCGCGCCTTTATGGTATGGATGAGTGTTTGGATTTGTTCCATAATTTATAATTCTGGTTATTTGGAGAATCTATTCGTGGTGGATAGTAATCATACGGGCACTTTTCGTAATGATGATTTCCAACGTAATTGGGAAGTGGGACGTGGTGCGGTATCGAGTTTCTTTTCAAATGTTCACTCTGTTATAAATGCTGGTTCCTTTGGCGGCAGTGGTCAAGATAAAGATCAAGCGGGTGGTCCTGTCGGAGGCAGTAGTGTGTTTGGTAATAATGCTAAAGGTGCTGGCGCCTTAAATGCTGGTCATGAGGGTAAGTAATCAAATTTCTCTTATAATAAAGCAGGAACATTTATTTTGTTAATAACCCATTACAGGTCCACGTATTGATAATCATATAAACGAAACAGAAGCGGAACTTAAACGTCTTTTATACCCCGACTTTGAGCTTAACTATTTTCTTTCCAATTTCCACTGGTCCACCATAATGAAACAGTATAATGTTTCCTTGCGTGGTCATTATATCACCATTCTGCCCACCATTAAACTGTCTCATGCCATTAGTCCCGAAAAGGCCGTTCATGGACGTAATCCTTATGAAAAAGTGGTACAGAATTTCCAATGGAAGGCGTTAGCTGCCGCCTTAGATCCTTTAGATTTCAATGATGATGAAAATCGTGAATCTCCTATGGTCATGCCGGGCGGCACTCCGCTCTTTCCCAAAAGTCCCATGGAAATCTTTTTGCCATAACGCTCTGCTGCATAAGTGTCTTTGTACTCTGCTATACAATGGTGGTGTTTTATCGTTGTATTTGCACACGCAACTATGCTGAATGGCGTTCGAGTTGGAATGAATGCTCGGAATTTTCACAAAAAACTGAACAGATACTAGAGGGTGTTTCCCACACAAATAGCCGGCCATAAACATCGCATAGAATGTTTAGTATCGGATGGCGCAAATATCATCAGTTGTTGCCTAAAGGGTCAAATTAAAGTTTGGGATGCCCGCAGTGGTGAGAATATAACCACCATTAATCGCGGCGACATGCAGGTGACCACTCACCGTGAAGATGGTGAAGTAATTGTTAAGAAACTAAACTCTTCACCCGTTTGGTGTTTAGATTATTTTGACAATTTAATTGCGGTGGGTTGTGCCAATGGGCGCATTGAATTATGGGAAATGCCATCTGGTGTTTTAAAGGTAAAGTAATAACCACACAGGTGTTTAATCAATAAAAGAAATAAAACTTTAAAATATATATATTTTTATTACAGTGCACTTATCATGAGGATTCGAAACGTAATCAGGGTATAACACATATTAATCTAAATGGTG